GAGGTATTCTTGACGGCTTCTGTTTATTTTTCTAATGGGTGTTAATGGTTTTGTTCATCATTATTTTTTATAGAACTTTTAATCATTTACTAAAATTGTATCAAATTTTCTTTTCTAAATGTTTGTTTTGCGAAGGATTTTGTTTTTTACTAGCATATTATTTATGATTTTACATTTCCATTCTTGTTTACGTGATTGCTTTTAAGTACAAATTAAGAATAATTCAACATCTTTTTATTTTTATTTCTTTTTGATATGTAACTGTACTATAATTAGTTTTTCAATCATTAAATTTCTAATGTATTAAATTAACAATATCCTTTACTCTTTCTTTCTCTCCTTTTTTATCCTATAAACATTTAATTTTATAACATTTTTCCTGTAATTGGTGCTTATAAAAACACTTGGGCTACACATAGATATTTCACATTACAAATCTATGTATGTGCCATAGTGGGTACATTCAAAAGTATGAAATTAGATAATAAAGTACGATAGATACATTTTCTAGTACGGGAATAACACTGTATCAAATATCATAAAATGGTTTTCTAATGGAAATTATATTGCCTGTTGATAAAGCGTAATATGATTATTCAGCTTCGAAATTCAACGTAAAATGTTCTGCTAACTGCATTTTTCATTAATACGTACATATTCATATTTTGTACATTGATAGGTATCATCTAGAAACCAGTGTGAACCCGCCAAGAAAAGGATTTCTACCATACTGGATAAGACAGATGCACACACAGCAAGTTTCCTGAGAGACTGTACAACGTCTTGGTGAGTAAAATTGATCTAACTAATTTGCTTCTTTTTTTAACATTTGTTGTTGGAATGATAAGTTTCTTAGTAAAAACTATAATGAAATATGTTCCCCGAATCATTTTTTTATTTATCGGCAATAAGAATGCTTTATTTAATTCCATTCGGTAAATTTGCAGAGTGCTTAGACTGAAATAAATTAATCTTTTTAATGCCAACCAAAATAGTTACCACACGTATTATCAAACAAACGTGGTTGTTCATTCCTCTGAACATTAAAATAAATTCAAGAAATAAAATACTTCTGAATATATCGGATTGCCATACTTCAAAGCAATATGAAATGAGGATTCACCAAATTCGTATTGTATCAATTTGTTAACTTCTTTTTTTTAAATAAATTATAAAAGACCAAAACATCAGAGATGACATACTTATTTGATTGAGAGAGTCCATTTTTAATCTTATTGTCTGTGGTCCTTAAAGGCTCTTACAGGGCGTGCGAAATATTTTTTTTTAATTTAAAAATATAATGTTAAAACTTCAAAATTAAACTTATGTAACTATCACTTTGGAGAAGTTACCCTAGATGCTCTGAGGCAAAGCTTCCTGCAGGCATTGATGTTTTTGCCAAAATCCATTTGTATTGCCTTGTTGATCCATCAAATATTTCATGACTGGATTTCTATAAGGCACTGTAGGAGACGAAAAGAGGCCAGATTCCGCCTGCCTCCGAGATGTCGATGATTCTGTCCGTTTCCAATTAGAATGGTGTAATTGTCCAAAATAACAATCTGGTTCTAGTTTTGTACAAGGAAGTTTTAAAGGCAAAATAAAATGGGATTAAATCATTATTTTGGTTTTTCGGAATTGCAACAGTCATTATTCTCGTAGGTATAACCATGCTTTTTATCAGAGAAGGTGACGGTAATCATCTTCATCTCGTTAATGAGATCCGGCGACGATTTTTCAGGGTTTCCCCAAACTAAGGGTTTCCTCCAACTAAAGTACTTCCCCACCCACGGGGTACTGCCTCAGCAAGTTCTAAGCTCCCTACTGATAGCCTGATATCTGGTAGTGTAGTGTCGACGTAGTAGTGTAGGGCATAAAAGTGTAAGCCTGTATAAGGGGCGAGGATAAGACAAGAGAGTATAATAAAAATCGCACGCGCTTCACGGCTTGTTTCTTGTGCTCCGGCATTCGGCTGGTGTTGATGGGAGAAACCACGAAATCTACCAACCAGACCAGCAAAGCGTTTGAATTCTCCTCCAGACAGCGTCTGAATTTGATCTATCTAACTCTCGGTCACGGGCACTACAATGGCACCACTTGATGCCCTGAGCCACCTACGCCAGTCAATAAAACTGGGGATTTTTATTAAGACCAAAACAAGTTAATTTCATAAAACAGTTTTTTATTTACAATTAATGAACATATAGAGAAAGCTGTTAACATTCGTAGTCACAAAATAACCAGAAGATTTACCGGGGACTTGCAATATTTAACAAAAGTCGAAGAGACGTCCAACAACAATTCCGTAGTCACAAATCAAATTCCAGTAGAGAAGTCCCTTATACTGGCTGGCAGCGTAGTCACTCGCTAACTAGTAGTCTCGTAGCTCGCACGATGGAACGACTGGAACTCTACTCACTGCTCGCTTCGCGCTATTTCATACTCGGTCAGGGCAAAAAGCTCGCCGACTGGTCCGGCCGTACAGCCGATGGCGCGCTCGGTCGCGCCGAGCGAAGCGTGACGGCCATGCTCAAACCTAATTCAGTGACCTCCCGTGAGCGGTGCCCGTATTTCCCGCAGCCTCGCTGCTGCGCCTCGGTGCCGGTTCTTTCAAAGGGGCGCGCAGGGCCCTATAACTCCCATATAACGTGGTGGGGACCATTACAGTGGCGCTCTCTAGAGCATCACCT